GGCAGCGCAAACCACATCTCACGGAAAAATCCTGCTTGGCAAGCCAACGCCGATTTAGCCCAAGCCTACACTCTGTTAATACATCAAAAGCTAAATAAATCTACCTATAACAGGAAGAGTGTGAGGAGACACTTAAGGTGGGAATAAGCACAGGGAGGCGTTTGGAGCCGGCAGAACGTGGCTTGCAGGGGATGGGACACAGATCTCGGTTCGAGCAACACAAGTGTAAATACAAAACGTAATCATGCCCATCCGCAAACCTGCGATTCACTTATCACCTTCAGCTCGCTCAGCAGACGCAGCCGAAGTTATTTCAAGAGTACAAGCATGTTTACCGTTAGAAAAGCAAGAAATGCTAGAAAACTCATTCAAATTCATACAGCAATGCTGGGATCCGGCGACCGGTATTCTGTATCACACCTGAACAGCTGGGTTGAGTTTTAAAAACACACAACAAAATAAAACTGTAAAACGAAGCAGATGATGAACTCTCCCATTCTCCCCCGCTTGGCCAAACAGAGCAGAGAGTGAGCTGCTGAGATTGAACGCTGATAAGAGACTTACGGCTTACCATAATGCTTCAGGATTTTCCCTCAAGCCAGGTAATGCACGAGACGAAAATGTTTACTGACTGCAATAAAAGAAAACCGGAACAGCAAAGTGAAGGAAAAAGTCCTGCATACGCTCCTGCTTCTAGAGAACAAGGTTCACGCAGCTGCATCTGCACAGCCAGCCGGAAAGTGTTTTGTCCATAGGATGCACATGAAGAAATAGGGAAGGGAAGACACACGCCTGGCTCAACGTCCCCTACCGCCGAGCGAGGCGAGCGCAGCTCGCACACGTGGGACATAGTAAACAGCCCCGCGCCAGCGTTCGGGGAATTTTTCCACCACCAGAGGTGTTCTGCTCAGCAGACGCTGGTGTATGCAAAGTGTTTTGTGGGAACGCGCTGCTTCCAGCTAACTCGTGACAGATCCCTGCATGGCGGCCGGCCAGCTCGCAGGCAGGCTGCTCGCAACGCCGCGCTGCTGGCGCCGGGCCGGGCTTCCCACTTCTACGTATTTATGGAATTGTTTTGTCCTTTGATCTCTCTTTAAGATTTGTGCCTATTCTCTCTCAAGCTACTGTCCTTCATCTCAGTATTGATAATAGCTGATGGTTAAAGAACCTGAAGAGGAATGCCTCGTTTGCAGAAGGAATAGAAAAGGGCATGACAATAAAACACTTCAATTTTCCTGCAGTGGGAAATTTCGGACTTCGTTTCCTCTGGGACCTTTCAAGTGTCATGAGGCTCCTTCTCACCAAAAAGTAGCTTCGCCTCATCATTATTTCCCATGAAATAGTTTTTGACGCAAGTCCCGATCACACAACTGCTGCCTTCAGACAGAAACACAGCCGGGGCGGCGGGACGGGGGCGGGGAGAAGCCCCAGGCCGTTACAGGCAGAAATGACACTGATGGGACGTTGTTAATTCAGCATCAGGGCAGTGAGGCTTCGTGTGCTGACAGCCGATGCCGCCAGGCCGATTCCACGCTGCAGCCC